TCATTATTATCAATATTATCATTTTAATCAGTAGTAGTTGTAGTAGTAGTAATTACTATCATTATAGTAGTAACACTGTTGTTGTTATTACTATTATCATTATTTTCATTTTTTTCTATTATTATTATCATCATCCTTATTATTGTTATTACTATCACCATTATTATCCTCAATATTATCATCGTCATCACTTATTATTATTACTATTACTATTACTATTACCATTGTCATCATCGTTATTATTATTATTGATCATTATCATTATCATTGTTACTATTATCATCGTTGGTATTATCATTATCATATTGATATCATTATCATTGTTATTAGTATTATCATCATATTTTCAGTATTATTTTTATTTTCATTATTATCATTATTATTGTCATTATCATTACTATTACCATTATTAGTTTATTATTATCACTGTTGTTATCATTATCAGCTTATTTTTATTACTGTTATTATCATTATTATTATCAGTATTATCATTATTTTTTTTTCTAATTATTATCATTGTTGTCATTTTTCTGTTCTAATTATTATCATTATTATCATTATTATCCTTATCATTGTTATTGTTGTTATCAATGATATTGCTATAATTCTTATCGTTATTATAGTTAGCATTATTGTTATTATTATTAATATTAATTTTATTACTGTTATTATTATTATCAACATTATTATTATCATTATTTTCATTGTTATCATTATTATCATCATTTTATTACTATCTATAATCATATCATTTCATTATCCTTATCATTATCACTTTTTTATCACTATTATATATATATTTATCTTTTAATTATCGTTGTTGTTCTAACAGCATTCTATTACCATAATTACATATAATAATTCATAAATCTCCAGCCCTGTAATCTAAAAAAAATGTGAAGGACAGCATGCAAATTATAGATATGATATAAGTCTTTTCTGTGTGTATATTTTTTTTCTTTTTTGCGCGTGTACATGTGTGTTGTTGTGTGTGCGTGCATGTATCTGAGTCTCAATATGTGTATGTGTGTTCCTGTGTGTGTGTGTGTGTATATATGTGTGTATGTGTGTGTGTGTGCGTGCGTGTGTGTGTGTGTGTGTGTGTGTGTGTGCGTGTGTGTGTGTGTGTGTGTGTGTGTGTGTGTGTGTGTTTCTGTGTGTATATATATGTGTGTGCGTGTGCCTGCATCTGTGCGTGCTCGTGTGTGCACTTGAACCCTCGGCCTGCATTGTGGAATCTCCGCTGACTCAATCACAAGGCCTTGGTGAGTACGAACTGCTCCTCGCCCTTCTTTCAAGGCTGCTCCCCCCCCCCCCCCACTAAACGCTCCTTCCCAGATCCCCCTCTCAGCCCCCCCCCCCTCCCCCCGATAATAACATATGCTAATAATAGCTCAAACTCCGTTAGCGGTTACTAATTAGCTATGCGTATTTACAATTGAAGATACACCTGGGCAAGATGACCTTGACTGCAGCTGGGAGTGTGATCGATGACTTGCGCGTGATATTTGGTAATAAATACATACACACATGCACGCATATACACATAAACACACACACTGTCTCTCTCTATCTATCTCCATTTCTATCTATCTATCTATCTATCAATCTATCTATCTATCTATATTCCTCTCTCTCTCTCTCTCTCTCTCTCTCTCTCTCTCTCTCTCTCTCTCTCTCTCTCTCTCTCTCTCTCTCTCTCTCTCTCTCTCTCTCTCTCTCTCTCTCTCTCTCTCTTACACATACACATACAATCGCTAATAACCCATGTCGCTAAGGAATAATATTTAGTACTAAGAACACTCCTTAGTTTTCTTCGTCATAGAAGGTCACTCGACTGAGTTCATGACTGGAATGTACGCGACAGCCCCGAGAACAATGATTATTACCAATTAGACGTATGGAAAAAAAGGAGGCATGAGCTCGTGGGCGGGGTGTGGAAGGAGAGACGAGGATAAAAAAAAATGGAAGAATCATAAGGAAGGGGATAAAGAAGGGGAAAGGAAGGGGAGGGAGGAAGCGAGAATCATAATGCCTGTTTAATGCATAAAAAGGAGAAAATTAATGTAGATTAGGGGAGGGAGAAGGTAAAAGCAGGGAATAGGTTGTTTTGAAAGTAAGGCTAAAGATACAGAGAGGTACTGGTACAAGGTGAGTGAGATGCAGCAAAAGTGAGAGAGGAAAGGATAAGAGAGAGGGGAGGGGAGGAAAAGAAAGAGAGAGAGAGAGAGAGAGAGAGAGAGAGAGAGAGAGAGAGAGGAGAGGGAGAGGGAGAGGGAGAGGGGAAAGGATAAAAGAGGGGGAGGAGAAAAGAAAGAGAGAGAGAGTGAGAGAGGAGAGGGAGAGGGAAAGGGGAAATGATAAGAGAGGGGGGGAGGAAAAGAAAGAGAGAGAGAGAGAGGAGAGGGAGAGGGAGAGGGAGAGGGGAAAGGATAAGAGAGGAGAGGAGGAACAAAAAGAGAGAGGGGGAGAGGGAGATAGGAAAGGATAAGAGAGGGGG